GAAATTGAAAAAAATCCGGAAAATTTGCCACGTAGGAAAGGCGCCCGCTGCCGTGGCCTAGGTTTCTCACTGAAAATCCTCGTCCCCCGGCGGCACCTTTTTTTGAATTTTCTTTCTTTTCAACGGCGTTTTTTGGGAATTCCGGATTTTTTTTGAATTTTGTCGCAATAATATTCGGAAAATAGATAACTTTTAACAAATTTTAATGCAATAAAAATTTTTGGTCGGAATCCCCCTTTAAAATTTCAAAGCACCACCAAATCAGTTTTGTTTAAAATTTGATGAGACTCATATATTTAAATTCAGCTCAAAATCGCTTCAAAATGAGTATGAACATGGCCTCATTTAAAACATATTGAAGTTTCCAAATTTTTCAAAATTTCACAGAAAGCGAATGAAACCATAATTTATCAAAGCAAATCAGGCAATTCATCATTTTGAACAAAAGTCATAGTGAATATATTTGATCGAAAATTTGAAAAACTTTAACACGAAAATGTAATAGGGGAAACAGAGAAAAATATTGTTAAGAATAGAAGTTATCATAGCTTTGATATTTGTCCTCGGGTTTTTATAATATTGAGATTTTCGGATTCCGCTCACTGTCATCTTCAGAATGAGTATAAACCAGACTATTTTTGAAAAATTGAAATTTCGAAGTTTCGGAAATTTTCAACAAAAACTTCTTATTTTTTTCCTAGTCTAAAACCTTACGTACTATCAAAAACGTACTATCTTCCGTACTATCAAAAATGAAACTGTTCAACACAAATCTGTAGTTGGAGAAACAGCGAAAAAGTGTGACAAATTGAATTCCTCATAACCCTGACAGTTTTTCTCAAAATCTTGTTAAATTTATATTTTTAGATTCAGCTTAAAATTAGCTTCAAAATGAGTCTAAAATAACCTAATTTGGAAACAGTTTGAGAATACAAATTTAGGGGTGGGATTGAAATTTTCATAACTTTGCCAGTTTGTTCAGAAAGTTATGAAAATTGTATATTCAGATTTAACTGGACAAAAGCTTTCAAATCAGTATAAACATGGCCCATTTGGAATTTTTTTTTTGAAAATTTAGGTTTTTTTTAGTCTTTAAACAGGCCATAAAACCATGTTTCGTAAGAGCAAAATATTTTTATTAGAAAATAGCTTGTTTACCAAACACAATCTTGATGTTTCTAGAAATTTTCGATTTTTAGGGCTTTACCACAACAAAAAAAGGTTAAAAATTACAAATTACCACCATAATTATTTGTTTTGTTTAAAATTTGATTAGACTCATATATTTAGATTCAGTTTAAAAATCGCTTCAAAATGAGTATAAACATGACAAATTTCGAAAAAAATTTTTGAAAAATTCCGAAATTTCAAAAAAAAAAGCGAATGAAAACCATAATTTATCAAAGCAAATCAAGCAATTCATCACTTCGAAGAACAAAAGGCTTTATCGAAAATCGGCCTTACATCAATTGGGATGGATCGAAAATCGGATCAACTTCGACAATAAAATGTCATCGGAGAAACAGTGAAAAAGATGTGAAAATTTCAAATTATAACTTTCTCCGCTTTTCTCCAAATTTTATGGAAATTTCATATTCTAATTCAGCTCTTTTATAGCTTCAAAATGAGTGTAAACCTTTCCAGTATATTCGTTTTATCGAATATTTGAACAACTTCACACAAAAATGTCATTGGTAAAACAGTGAAAAATGTGAAAAATTGAAACCCCTCATAACTTTTATAGTTTTGCTCAGAATTTCATGAAACTTATATATTTGGATTTAGTTTGTTAATAGCTTCAAAATGAGCATAAACATGGCTTAGGTTGAGCAAAAAAAGGGAAATTTTGCAAAAATCGAAATTTCGAAAATAGCTTGAAATTATCATAACTTTGCTGGTTTTGCTCAGAATTTTATGAAAAGTGTATATTTTGGCTGAGCTCAATTATAGCTTCAAATGAGCATAAACACTACAAACTTTCGAAAATTTTCAAATTTCGAAAAACTCGAATTTTCCAGAAATTCGGACGAATTTGGAACACAAGAGAAGTAAATTTTACATTTTTAAGAGAAATAAAACAACTTTTTGATACAGAAAAAAAAAATTTTTTTTGGGATTTTTTTCAGGATTACTGTACTTTTTTCCAACAACAACAAACATTTGAAAAAAAAACTCACCAAAAATACAAATCCTCCCAAATATCGTCCATTCTCTTCTGTTGGCAGCTATTTATCTAGGCAACACCAAGAACTTATATTATAAGTTATATATCAAAAAAGTTGACAAAAATTTCGCAATTTTTTGAAAAAAAAACTCATATTTCGATGATTTTTTGTTTGTGACTGATTCTGTTATCATTATGACCGAATTTATCAAAATTAGGGGTTTTCTAGGCCAGGAAAATACGATTTTTTTTCGGTCAAAATTACATTTTTTAAGTCTCAATTTTCGAAAAAATCTCAAATTTTTAGGTCTTTTTTATCAGAATTTATTTTTCGAATTTTCGAAAATCCCCAAAATTTGCTATAATTATTTCAATTTTTTAGTTAAAAAAATAGGATTTTCTAGATCTTTTTCTCGAAAAATCCCAAAAATTTTGAATATTTTTCATTTTTGCAATTAGGTTAATAGCGATATGAGACCTTGATTATGTGGGGAATATTCTTTGATATTTTTTGGGAAAAATTGAAATCGAATCGGAAAAATACAATAAATTAAATGGAGATACAGAAAAAAGGGAGGAAAAATACAGAAAAATGAGAGATCATTCTAGTAGGCAGATATCACAAATTGTCATCGTCGTTGTCTCCTCGATCACTTCTCATCCTCCTGCTTCTCACTCACTGACGCCGAATCATCATCGTCGTTGTCGCCGTTGTTAGAAATCCCCGTCTCGTCGTCGTCATCGTCTTCTGGAGAATGGAAATTTCGGATTTTTTGATTTTAAGGAATAGATTTTTTAAAGTTTTCCGGTTCAAAACTGGAATTCGGGGACTTTTTTTTTGATTTAAAAAAACTGTTTTCTCAAAATTCGTACGTTTTCGACCCATTTCAGCTACTGTAATTCGAAGAAAAAAAGCGAAAATGACCAAAACAAATCAGATTTTCTAGGAAAAACTCAATTTTTTTTTCATAGAAATTGCGGAAAATTGAGTTTCTGGAAGTTTTTTTTTCGAGTTTCAGCTTTTATTAACTGGTTTTTTCGCTGGAATTTTGTGATTTTAGAGCTAAAAATCTGATTTTCGAAACTTTTTGAGCCGATAGTCAGGTCAAAAGCAACTATTTTATCGACTTTTCTCTGAATTTTCTGGCAGAATGTATCGATTTTTTCTACTAAAAATCGCCTGAAGATCCTGAAAATGGTCATTTGGAAGAGGATTTTACTAGTCCACAGCCACCATGCTTTTTCAGCAGATTTCAGCCGATTTCCGTCCATTTTTTGAACTGTTATCGTTAATTTTTCGAGAAATTGGGCAAAATCGACGCGAACAGGTTTGAAAAACAGTCAAAATGTGAAAAAATGACTAAAATTTTGAATTTTTATGCCGAAAACCAAGACTTTAGTCAATTCTAATCCTATTTCGAGCCATTTTGGTGCTTCAAATACCAAAAATCGACCAGAAATAGCTATGGCATTTTTGTTTAGAAAAATTCAAGAAACGAGGGTTTCCTAGTCCACGGCCATCATGCTTTTCCAGCCAAATTACTGTCGATTTTTCGAAATTTCCGGCAGTAATTAGTTGAAAAAATTGAGAAAAACAATCGAAGAATTACGCGATTTCCAGGTTTTTGAGCGCCAAAATTGCTATAAAATGACATGGAATTCACGAAAATCAATTGAAAACTTCAAAAAATGCGTTTAAATCGAAAATGCAGCCATTTTTAGCCATTTCAGAGTTTAAAAATCAACTTTTTCGTTATTTTTGTGCTCACAAAAAGGGCTTTTTGGCTTCAAAATCGATTTTTGTTTGAAATTTCGCGTTCCAGAGCTTTCAAATCCACGACGAACCTGTACAAAACCTCTGGAAATTCGACAAAATCACATTAAAAGCCTGCAAATGATTCCGGCGATCCGTGAGCTTCGCTTCGAGAACCTTCTGCCGGTCGTGTTGTCGTTCCAGCTCATCACGGACCTCTTCTAGCTTACGGGCGGTCTCCGCTCGCGTTGGCACCTCATTCATCACATTCACCAGTTTTCGGTATTCTTGGCGATTTCTGAATTTCAAAATTTTCAATTTCGCGCCACCTATTTTTTCGAAAATTCACTTTTTCACAATTTTCGCATCCGCCAACTCGGCCTTCGCCGTCTCCATCTTCTTGTACATCAACTCGATCTCACTATCGATTTCTCCAGCGAACGAGTCGAATTCCAGCGCCTGTCGCTTGTTCATCTCCGCTATTTGCTTCTGTTTCAGCATTGACAACTCCACTAGTTCTAGCTGAAAAATGAATTATTTCCCCTCCTTTTTTGACTGAAATTACAGCTCTTGTCACTTTGACCACTTCAGCTGTCTTTGGTTCTTCAACTTTCCGACTCTCGCGGAAAAACGTAGCAATTTGTTGCAGCCGACGATCCTCACCAGCGCCTTCGGCATCGGCGATCAGTTTTCGGGTCAATGTATCGTCTTTCATCTGAAAATTCTATTCCAGCTAACCCAGAAGACAACAACGAAGAAACGCGAACCGGGACCCTAACCAGTGTAAATCTGTCCTAAATACAAAAAATGAACAAAAAACAAGTTGTATTAAAAATAACAAAGTTTATTGTGAATCAACAACGAATTTAGGCCTTGGACTCGACAGGTTTGTTGATCTGGCGCTTGTTGTTCTTTCTGGCGAAGCGGAGATTCTTCAGGAACTTGGCGTCGACTCCCTTCATGGAGAGGAAGACGTGCTTCTTTGGCTTCTTGATTCCATTGCGGTGAGCCTTCTTGTCTGAAAAATGAGAGAAATTTAGGTTGAAATTTTTAGTTTTTTCGAGGGTAAACATTCCGCAAGTTGTGGCGGAGGATCGGAGGAGACAAGGGGATTCTTCGGAAAAACGACAGATACAAAGTGGCTCCAAAGGGTATCCGCTGATTCTCCAAACTACGTGGACTCTGCTGATCTTCCGCCATAACCTCTCAGCAAAATGTGGCGGAGGATCGGCGAGTACTCCCCGGAGCCTTTTACCTCCAGAGGGAATCCGCCGGCTCTCGAAACCCCATTGTGCCCACCGATTCCCAGTTTTTTGCCTAGTTTACTGAGAAATACTAAAAATTCAGTAAAAAAGTTACGATCAAAATATTGTGCTGGAATTCCTGGCCCTGCAACGAACGACAAGTTTCTTGACAGACGAGCACTAGAACTCAGCAACAAAATCAGTTTCTTTTCTCAAAAATAAAACAGAAAACTGCTCAAAAACACTTCAAAATTGATTTTTAGAAACAATTTTTTCATCTCCAAACTTCCTCGTTTTCAAGATAAAAATACTCACTCTGGTTGTGATTGGTGTGGTTCTTGGACTTGGCCATGACGACGACGGTTAACCCTTAAAAAAGGAAAAATTAGAAATCAAGTTTAGAACAAAAATTAAAAATTCGAGTTCTCAACGACAAAAAAACAACTTTCAGGCGGAAAAAAAGGATGAAGATCGATGCTTTTCTAGGTGGTCATTTTAGGGCAGAAATTGGAAAATTCGAATTTTCAACGATTAAAGACCTATTTCTAGGTGAAAAAAGAATGAGAATCGACAATTTTCTAGCTCGCAAATTTTCTGAAGCCGTCGAAACGCAAAATTTCGTGATAAAATTCGCAAAAATCCCAATAAAAAGTAGGAATCGAAAGAAAAATAAAAGAAAATTGCGAACAGCGAAGCAGGTGGATACGGTCACACTCGTTGTCCTGTGTGCGCCATCGCGGCGAGACCAGCAAGGAGAGAGTGTGCGCCGCGCGGAGACGCAGAGAGAGCGGTGTGTCGATTTACGAGCGGCGTCGAAAAAGCGAGGGAATTTGGTTTATATTTATGGATTTTCAGCCATTTTTTGGCTGAAAATCTTGAAAAAACGGGAATTTTAAGGTTGAATTTTAAAGGGGGCCAGACAGCAAAAATTTCGGGGGACGTGCATTCTGACGTCGCGGTGTTCGCACCTAAAGCACGCAATCCCACGCGCAAACTTTTTTTATTTTTTTCTTTATTTTTTCAATTTTTTACGATTTTAAACTTTAAAAAACCGTGTTTTGCTAATTTATTGCAAAACTCTTATGAAATAGAATTTTTCTTTCAAATTTCAAGTTCAATTTACTGGTTATTTGGCCAATGGCTGGGCTTTTCTTCAGACATGCAAAAAAAAAACACTATTTTCTCTCCGATAGTCGTTTCATCCTTCTTTCTGTTTGTATTTTTTCGTCTCATTATTACTCTGAAAAGGACAGCAATACAGCATGTTTCATGAATGGTATTTTCAGCAACTGTCTTCACTTCTGCTGCTCCCTTCGCCTTGCGACTACCGATTCGGCAGGAAAATGTTTCTAATTTTATAATTTTTTTTGGATTGTTGGGTCTCTTTCTAAAAGTTAATTGTATTCTTTACGCATAATTTATTTGTTAACAAAATAAAATGCATCAATTTTCAATTTTAAATTACTTTTGATCCCTCGGAGTAAAACCCTGACGGCACGCTGTTAGCTCTTTATAAATTCCAACTTCAAAAAGTCGAGTACAAAAGAAACAAACAAAGAAAAAAAGGAAACCACCAGCATTGAATTTCTGGCCTTCTGAATGCTAACCTAGAGCGTACGCACTACACTACGGGTGTAAGAGGAGACCGGTGCGTTGATTTGCGTTATAAAGCAGCGCCGCCGCAGCGAGCGGGTGAAGAAATTACGGTAAGAGAAAGACGCATTTTTTTCGCCAATGAGCTGTTTTTTCAGGTTTTTAGTAGGCAGCTATACGTATACTTCAGATTCACATCTTTTGAGAAAAAATGAAAATTTTGAATATTTTGATGTCTCCCCTCCTTTAAGGTAGATTTTTAGGAATCCGCTTTTTATTTTGAATTCGCAAATGTCACCACAATGAAGCAGTTCAGCAGCGAAATCGTCGTCTTGTGCCTTCACATTTTCTAGATTTTCCAAAAATTTATATTTTTAGCCAATTTTTTTTAATTTTCGCCAATTTTTCATAGATTTTCAGATGAAAATAGCTGAACATTCGATAAAAACTATGAAAATTATCCCAAAAAAACTGCGGAAATTGCTTAAAATCGAGAAATTTTAGGCTAAAAATCCTCATTTTTGAAAAATCTGAAAACTTTAAAGGCGCATAGGAATTTAACGCTTCTCTACAGTAACCCAAAAGATTTTTGTCATAATTATCTGAAAAAAAAAAACAAAAATAAACAGCTGCTGGGAATTCAAATTTATTTGGAACATAAACAATTATAAAATTTTAAAAAATCAATTTTCTCAATATCCAGCATTCGGGGAGCAGCAAACGCACAACGGCTGTCTCTCCAAGACCATTTTGAAGCCGACGATGGATTCCTGAAATTTTGAAATTTTCAAAAGTTTAAAAATTCTCAATAGAGCACATTTACCTCCTTAATATTGGTTCCATCGATACGGGCGGCCATTTTACAGCACTTGTCGCACGAGTCCTGCTTGAATGAGTCTTGGCAGAAGTTGGTGGTTGGGCGGTAATCTGGAAGATTTGAATTTCAAAAAAATTTACAAAAAAAAATGGTTTACGTTTTCCATCCTGTCCAAGGAGTCCGTAGTTGGCTTGAATCGTGCAGACATAGTCTGCAAAATAGGTCTGTCTGTGCATCCAGATGTCCAGATGTGTTTTAAAATGTTTTTTTTGCGACGTGGTTTTGAGGATATTTATTTTTGAGTCATATTTTTGTCATATGGGATGAGAGATTTAGAGAGAAAAGGGAAGGAGGGGGACGTGATAAGACAACAGGAAAACATACTGGAAATTGAAAAGTAAAAGTGACGTTTGTCTGTTTTTTGAAATTTTGAATTTTTTCAGATTTTCTAGAATACTTTCTCCTTTTTAATAAAAATTTTGGAATTCGGAAGAAATTGCATTTTTTGTTAATTTTTTGAATTTTTCTCTGTTCCAGTCATGTTTGTTTAATATTAGTAGCAACTTTTCAATATTTAGACTCTAGACAGAATTCAAAGTTTTTTAAAAATTCGAAATTTTTTTCCAATTTTCCATTTAATTCCTCATTCCAAAATCCAGAAACAAGTAAATTTAGGAATTTTGAGAATTTTTTTTTCATTTTTTACATTTTTTAACGAAAAATCCAAAAACTTGAACTGAAATGATCCCATAATTTTGGAACTTTGATTTTTTTCTAGAATATTTTTTCAAAAATTTCGTAAAATTACTGTTTTCAATAGTTTTTTTTTACAATTTCCAATTTTATCTTTTTTTTCAATTACTGCCTCGAGAAATTTAGGGAATTAAGAAAATGAATTCTAACTGGATTACTGTACATTTCATAACTATTTCAATCCGTTTGGTCTACAGTAATCATGATAATGGTTTTTTTTCAATCAAAAAAATTCTTTTTCAGCCTCATTTCCTCAATACTAAAAGTCATTTTCGATAATTTTGCAATAATGAAACTTTTAAAATTCAAAAAATTGCTTTTGAATATTTCGAAACTTTTTTCTGCTTCAGCCTTGTTTCTTCAATACGCTTAGCTCTTTTTTGAATAATTTGAAAAAATTAAAAAAAATAATCTTCTCGAAATTCCGTTTAAATATGCCCCTCGAGGAGTTGAACTTGTCGAGACAGGTATTGAAGGTGCGGCGCCGCTACCGACTGAGCCACGCGGGCAAAGAGGCAGCCGCTGCCCGATTGCATACATAAAGGCGAGGACGACCGCTGTACGCAGAGTGACATTAAGCGTTGTACACCGTGACGGTAGAATGCATACTCTAGCTACAAAAAAACTACGAAAAATCTCCTTTCCCCCCACCTTTAAAAACATTTCTGCTTCAGCCTCATTTCGTTAATACTAAAAGGGATTTCTGAATAATTCCATAATACAAGAAGGGTTAAAAACATTAGAAGAAAATTTTTTTTTTTCATGAACATTTTGAAAAAAAAAATTTTCTAACTTTTTCTGTTTCAGCCTTGTTTCTTCAAAGCGATAATCGATTTTTGGATACTTTCAATTTTTTTTCGAAAATTGGAGGAAAAAAATTTGAAATTTTCTGTAGCTGAAAAAAAATTTTTTTTAGAAAAATTCTTCTGATTTTCAATGGTAAGTCAACATTTCGAATTTCTTTGAAAAAAAGTTCGAAAAAATCAAATTTCGAAATGAGTGCTAACTGGATTACTGTACTTTTCAATACTATTTACCATAGTTTCAAGCGGGCCGGCTGATATCTTGTCTCTGAAACGAGATACCCAGACGGTTTTGGTACCATCTGAAAGATCTCAACAGGTCCCATCACGCCTTCATTGTTTCAGCCGGATACCGGTCCAACAAAAGGTCGAAAAGTGTGTTTGATTGACAATTTTTGATCAATTTGGCAAAAAACAAATTTTTTGTACTTCAAACACATTTTTCGACATGTTATCGGACTGGAATCCGGCTGAAATGATACCAAAACCGTCTGAATATCTCGTTTTAGAGTCAAGTTAGCAGCCGGCCCGTTCTCAACTATGCTATTTACATTCGGTTTGGTCTACAGTAACGTTTAAACTACCAGATTACTGTATGCTTCACAAGCTTTTCGAATTTTGGAGAACACTTTTGTCAGAAATCTAAAATTTTTCTCTTTTTGTTACTAGAATTTTCGGAATTTTGAAAAACTGAAAAACGATTCAAAATGTTCTGTTTCATCCATCTTTCTTTAATACTAACAACGATTTTTAACACTTCTGAATTCGATTAAAATGGAATTTCCAAAAATGTTTGATTTTGTCGAAAAAGGTTGAAAAACTTTGAAGTTCTGAACTAAAATCGTTTTCCGGAAAATTCGAAAAGTAAGAAAATTTCATTTTCTCTTATTGCGGTCTCAAAACGATGAATTCTAACTGGATTACTGTACTTTTCAAAACTATTACCATTCCGTTTGATTTCACAATACTCCTTGAACCAATAATGTACGCGATTCCTCAATAGAGCGCGATTGCCAAAAAAAAAAAACAAAAAAAACTCACTATCACTCAACGGCTGCGGGTAGTACTGTGCCGGTGGAGCATTTTGTGCTCCATACTGTGCATTCGCACAATAGAAAGCACAAATGCTCAGCAAGACGAGGATAGAGGAATTCATGGAGAATGATAAGGAAATTCTGAGATCTTGGAGGGGTTTTTATAGTGGAAGGATTTTTGATTGGATTTTTCGATTAGGCTCCAGGAAAAAAATTCTGGGAGGGAATTTTTTTTCTGTTTCCCATGATTCACTTTTATCGTCTTCCACCCACACAGATGCAGTTGGTTCAATTTGGCTGTCTGAAATTCCAACGGAAACTTGAAATATGAAACTGGAATCTTGACTGCGTAGCTTGACTTTTAGATTACTGTAGACCGAAAACTGACTGAATAATCTTCAAGGTTACTGTAGAGAAAAGTTCCGTTGCCTTTATTGGGTTACTGTATGTTACTGTAGACCCAAACTGAACGAAAAATACAGTAATATAGTGAATATCCATCCTTATTTTCAAAAAGTTTAAAATTTCAATTTTTGGAAGTTTCTAGAAATTTTATTGGTCTCGAAACGGAATAAATGCTTTTTTGGTTGCAATGAGTTGTGATATAAACAATTTTTTTTGAAAATTCAAAAAAAACTTTTAATACAACATTTTTTGAATTTTTTAAATTGTTATTGTGGAGAAGATTTCTGGAATTCCTGAACATTTTTTCTAGGAAAAATATTATCCAAAATCTAGCAACTTCTTTAATACAACGAATTCGAATTTATCCCAGAAAATAACCAAAAATGTTTTAGTTTTTTTAAAAATATTATTGTTGTCTGAGAAGAAAAAAAAGGTTAGAGAGTATTTTTTGCAGTCTGAATACGGTAGAGATATCGAAGCGGCGAGCGTAAATAGCACATGTTAGGTGGAGACGCAGAAAGTTTATCTTATAGTTTATATATTACAGAAAATTGAATTTCAGAAACTTTTAGTTTAAGTTTCTCAAATTCTAAAAAACACATTTTCCGGATTTTTTGAATTTTTTGATTTTCAGAACTTTAAAATTTTTTCCCCATTTTTGACGAATTCTTCTCTGTCAACTCCTTCAACTTTTTCAATTTTTCTTTTTATTTTTTTTCGTATTACAAAAATCTAGATAAAACACTATAAAATCAGATAAAAACAAAAAAGTGTGTAAAAAAGAGGAAATAATAAGCATGATTTCCTTCTTTTTTGTTCCTCAAATTGGAACACAAAAATTGATCTTTTTTGGCCCCTCCACCTTTTTTGGGTGTTAGGTATATATAACTAAAATGGACTAGTTTTTTGAAAGATTGCCTTTTTTGACTTATTTTTCTCATTTTTTTGAAATGTTCTGCTTTGGTTTTTGGGGTACTGTAGCGATTTTTAAAGGTGGGGGGACATGAAAAAAATAATCTTCTCGAAATTCCGTTTAAATATGCCCCTCGAGGAGTTGAACTTGTCGGGGCGAGTATTGAAGGTGCGGCGCCGCTACCGACTGAGCCACATGTGCAAAGGAGGAGCGAGCGCCCTGTGTTAAACATAAGGGTGAGGACGACAGCGGTACGCAGAGTGATATTAAGCGTTGTACACCGTTACGGTAGAATGTATACTCTGGCTACAAAAATCCTCCGAAAAATCTCTTGTCCCCCCCCCCCTTTAAAGAGTCTTATGATCAATTTGAATTATGAAGCATTAGAATTGTGAATATTCCTCATTTCAATACATCCAAAACACTTTTTCTTAAAAAAAAAACTATAATTGTGAGAACATCCTGATTGTCAAAATTTTGGCTTGGATGTATCGAAGAAGTTCTTACAATTAGGCGAACATTCTCTCTGAAATAGTGACTTTAACTTTTCACTAAAACATAAAAAAGACATTCTGAAACAGTTGAAATTTTTTTTTAACGGATAGAGGAACGTTCTCGGGGTGTGAGAGTATGCACTCTGAGTTAACCGTGTACTGTAATCGGTGCTGACACAGCTGTGATGTCTTTTATATATGACACCAGCTTAGGAAAAACATGGCTCAATTGGTAGCAACGCGGCACCTCCAACGATGGGTCCACAAGTTCAACTCCTCGAGGGTCGCATTTGAAAAAAATTTTGATAAATTCATTTTTTCATGTTCCCCCTCGTTTTTTTCTAAACCTTTTTACAGAGTTTCGGATTCGGAAAATATCCTGTTTCATCATGAACACAACTTTTGGTTTTTTTTTCTTCAATTACCCCCATCGCGCGAATTCTTCCTAAAATTTTACCAAGTATTTTTCCAAGCATCCCAGCTACTTTTTACCCTTTCAAAATAATCATTTCCAGTTTTCAAAATGTTTCATCCCAATTTCAATATTCTAGGTACAGACTAAAAGTACGCAAGGTCTATAAGTTCAATTTAGCATTGCAGCGGAGCAACTGCCAGTTCACTGTTTTTCACAAGAAAAGAAGTTGTGAAAAAATTTTACTGCTTCATCAAATTATTATAGGCCAATACTTAACCTAGCTAATCTCATTGGGCAACAGTTTGCATGTGGCTTATCTCGTTCGGGTTACTGTAGCAGTAAAATTTTCATTTTCATAAGATGATATTGGTTTTTTACTGCTACAGTAACCTGAATTAAAGTTTCAGGTACCATGTGTAATGTTAGTGTAATAAAAATTGGGACATATTTCGGTTTACTGTAGCAGTAAATAAGGTTCTATGAAAAACATTTTTACTGCTTCAGTAACCTGTAATAAGTTTCTAGTAGTACCTCTTGCCATTCAAACGGGAGAATTTTTTGAACATATATTTTTTTCTCGAAAATCCAGTGCTCTTTTGGTTCTTTGACCTCTTACACCTGACATGTCTGACATTTGAATCCTCTCTCTCTCTCCCTCTCTCTCTCTCTCTCTCTCTCTCTCTCTCTCTCTTTCAGAAGAAGCAAGAGGGTCTTGGAAAGGTGATACATTTGAAATTCTCAGTTGGGCAAAGTTTTTGTTTGCAAAAAAAAAAAATCTTTTTGAATTTCCGTTTCAAAAGTTCCATGATTTCAAGAACAAAAATTATTTCCCAGTTCTAGCTTCATTTTTCAATCCGACACTTGCAACCGCATCGAGCTCAGGAGATTCAGAAACTTCGAGAAGCCTTTATTTTGCACTTTTGAAACGAATTCCATTTTATTCGTCACTTTTAATCTCATCCCCTCCGTTTTATTCTTCAAAGGGATTCGCACCGACAATAACAGAAAAAGAAAGAGTTTCTTTTTTAATTTAAAACTTTTTTTTCTTAAGCGTTAGGAGTTTTTTTGCAGGATCTTTCTCTCTTTAAATCTGAGAATTTTTCTCGGAAGTTTTGAAATTCAGGGTAGATCTTTTCTAATACTGTTTCAATCACTTTAGATTAGTTGAAAACTTTTTTGCGCTAATCATTAGAATAAATCTTTTTTTTGGTTTTAAGATAAATAGAATCACATTTCTGGTTATATATGTTACCTAATTGATGTTGACTTAATTACCTAAAATTGCACATTAATATTTCATTAGAAACAACTTCGTCCAATTATCTCTATCTTTTCTTACTTTCCGAGGAATTCTAACTTTTTTGAAGCTGACTTTGTAGCTTGTAAAATATACAGTAACTGTGTAATTCAAGGGTTACTGTAGACCAAACGGAAAAATTGGTTGTGAAAAGTACAGTAATCCAGTTAGAATGGATTTTTCGATTTTTTGAAAAAAAAAATTTTTGGACCATTTGCAGGAGAATGAATTCTTTTTTTTCTACAATTTCAAAATGCCCATTTTATGGTTTAGTAAGATCTTTAGAGTCGCTTCCATTGCATGCTATCAAGATAAATTTTTTGGAGTGAAAACTACCGTAATCTAAAAAAAGGGTCTTTTAAACTAGATTTTCGTCCTTTTTTGACATTTTTTTTTCACAAAAAATTCGTCTAAAAGTATTAGAAATCCGGGGAATAGAACAAGAGCCTAAAGTTTGGCTTACGGTATTTTCGTCCTAGAATCTGAAAAAATATGTTTCGGAATTTTCATAAAATTACTCAATTTATGAAAACTTCATTATAGATTCATTTTTATAGTACGCCGGTCAAAAAATTTCAACTTTTTCGGAGAAGAAATGTCAACTTTGAAGCAATACAAAAGCGGTACAAATTTTTCTGATTTGTCTGAAAATTTCAGAGTATACTAAACAAAAATAAAGTTTCAATTTTGTAATAGACAACGTTCTTGTAGCTTTTTCGGTTTTTGAGATATGCGTCTTTGAAGATGATGAAGCTCACAAGTCTCTCAGAAAGAGGAGATGAGAATACGGTATTTCAAATCGCATATAACTCAAAAACTAAAAAAGCTACAAAAAAGTTATTAACTACAAAATTGAAGCTCTACTTTTGTTTAGTATACTCTGAACGTTTCGGACAAAATGGAAAATTTTAGACTACTTTTTAAAGACCTCAAAATTGCTGTTCCACTTAAAAAATAGCAAAATATGTAACAGAGAAATAGTGCTAAACGTCTTTTCCGAAGATCTCTAAAATACAGCAAACAAAATATTTGTTCATATTTCTTTGTAGCCCACTTGAAACTCTATATTTTTTCTCTTATCCTCTCTGCCTTCGAACCATCATTCAACCCATTAACTACCCTCCTCCACGTGGTTCCTCTTCTCCATTTTGCAGAAGAGAGCAAAGGAGCAAGAAGAAGAAGAAGAAAGCAATATATAAAAATCTCCTTTTCCTTGCGTCATTCTCTCCCTCTGCGTCTCTTCTCTCTCATCGCATGGCTCCAAAAGAGCTCCAAGAGGCCCCGTGGACCCCCATTTTCTTCTCTCTGTCTGAGCCTCCCCCTATTTTTTTTGTGTAAGTGTGACACACACATACACAAAGTAGCCAACTGCCATTTTTTTGTTGCTCTGTCTCTTTTTACCTAGTAGACGAGCACTTGAGCTTGACTTTTCGTTACTTTTAGTTTTGTGTTACTTTTTGATTTTCTAGTTTCAATATTGTTGGGAAAATGCGTTAAACCAAACGAAAATGATAGCTGAAAGGAACAAAATGTTTATTAAGAGATTGCGAAGCAGAAAATTCCAGAATTTGGCTACCAAAATTTCGAAAATTTCTATTATTGTTAACAATTGGAATTATTTTTTTTTGGATGATGATCTGAAAGTGGACGGTTCGAGGGCATTTTATTAGAGTGTTTACGGTAATTTAGTTCTAAGTAAAAAAATGCCAAAAAAGGTTAGCAGTTGTTAAAATCATCCTATCAATTTTCCCTATCAGTTTCAAGAATGTATAAGGTAGTTGAAACGCTTTTTTCGAATAGATTTTTCACTGTTTCTGATGTTTGTCAAACTTTAGAAGATCCAATCAGTTCCGTTGATGTTGATTTGGAAATTCGTAGAAATTTTCTAGAAATTTATGTTCGGAAGACGCTTTTTGAAAGTCTAAATTGACCCATATTATCTCGCTTCCTGTAAAAGATATCAGACAGTGGTTCTATAAATACTAATACTCGTCGAAAAATTCCAATCAGTTGTATTGGAAGCTAAAAAATTTATTAAAGGATGAAACCTCCAGAAAAGGAGAAAAAGTTTCAAATCTGCAAAAAAAATCGCCACCGTGCTCAACTAATATGCTCTCGCCCTGACGCTAAACCCTTAACGTTAAGCCAATTTAACTGGACTCCTGTGAAAGATTTCCAAAAGTGTTCAACAGATAAAACATTTTTGAGATTGTTCTAAACATTTTATGAATTGATCACTTTTTGATGTATTTCACAGGGAATTAGACGTTGTAACAAATTCTCTATCCATTTCCAAAATGTATAAGGTAGTTCAAACACTTCTTCCAAAAAGATCTTTTACTGTTCCTGATATTTTTCAAGTTTTGGAGGATTTTATTAGTTCCATTGATGGATTAAGAAACTTCGAGAAATTTTTGTTTGGAAGATGCTTTTCAAAAATCTACTTTCACCCAAATTATCTTGCTTCCTGCAGAAGATATCAAAAAGTGGTCAACTAACAAAATGTAGGTTTGGCTTCTAATTCAGAAAACTTTTTAAACAATCCAAAAATTGGTGCAATTTGTGCGATGCAACAAAACCCCACCATTTTATGAACTTATCAGGTAGTTGAAACATTTTTTTTTGAAAATCGATTTTTACTGCTTCTGATACTTTGCAGTTATTCGAAAGCTTAAAGGAGGCGAGACAGCAAAAATTTCGGGGGACAGTTCGGGGGACGAAATCGCGCCGCGCTTATGTAGACCATCGGTCGTCAGGCGCCTTTGCGCCCCCGTAGCTCAGCCCCTAGCGGCGCTGTACCCCTGAGCTGCCTGTCATGAGTTCGACCCCTCATGGGGGTTCTCTTTGTAAATTATCAGGAAAACTTTTTTTTTTGGTGTCTGGCCTCCTTTAACAATTTTTACTATTGTTTTTCAATTATCCAGATTTCGCGACCGCCTTGCTCAACCGATTGCCCATCGGCTTCGCGCTAAACCTAAAGTTTACTATAAGCCAATTTATCTCGGTTCCTGTGAAAGATACCAGAAAGTGACAAACTGGCAAAATGTAGGTCATATTATGATAAAAATTTTGTCAGTTGACAGCTTTTTGATATCATTTACAGGAAATGAGATATACGGGCTCAAAGTAGTTTGGGTTTTAGTTAGGAAATGTCAAAAAAATGACAAAACATATTAGAAATCGTAATAACGATGCAAAAAATCTCTACAAACTTTCTGAGAAAAGGTAGTTGGAACATAAATTGTTTTTTTTGGGAAATTGATACATTTTCAATTTTTCGAGAAATTTCGATAAGTTGTATTGAATCTGAGTATTTAGATGTCCAAAAATGTGAAAAATTCAAAATCGGCACAAACAATCGCGATCGTGTAACTCAGCTGATAGCTCTTGCTTTGCGTTAAGGCTGTCACCTACTTTGAGCCAATTCATCTCGGCTCATGTGAAAGATATCAAAAAGTATTCAACTAGTACAATATTGTTGATATTATTCTAAACATTTTATCTGTTGACCTCGTTTTGATATCTTTGACAGGGACCGAGATAAATTGGCTTGAAGTTGACAGACAAGGGACAACCTTACCTCCCACGTTCTGACCTCAAAAACGTTTCCTCTGATACTCTGCTTCCTCAAATCTCTTTCTCTCTTCCACGATATCCAACATTTCTTATCAAAAAGTATAATTTTACAGTTCTACTAATGCAATCTGCACTTATTGGGCTTAACGTTCCATTGCAACGACGGTTTTTGTCAGGTACCCTTATTTTTTTAAAGCGGAATCGCAGGAAGAACTTATCATCAAAAATGAACATTTATGTATTAAAAACCTACCCGAAACAGAAATTTCATGTTTCCAGGAATTCTTCCATCCGCAACCAGATGCTATTCCACTGACACCAAAAAATACGAATGCACTTCTGCGGAGCACAAAAAAGAGCTCGATGAGTGCTATCAACGCCTGGATTTGTCATTTGAGAATACGAAAGAGGCGTTTAAAGTGAGTTTTTTTTGTTGAAACAGCGCCATGAAATCTATAATGTCTCTAAAAAGGACAAGTCAGCAAATCAGTGGCTACATATGATGTATTGGACCAACTTCAACTTGTATTAGGTTGAGCGAAAAGTCTTTGTAATTTTTTTTGGACCGTCATATCTCAGCGTTGATTTAACTTTTTATTGTTCTGTTTTTTATATATTGTAGTACTAGTTGTGCATGCTTAAAAGATTTGTTAAAGTTACCGACGGCGTTTATAAAGACCGAGAATTTGCCCAGAGACCACCATGCTCTCAGGGGTGCTTTTTTGTGCGGGTTTCTCCAAGGTCACAAATGCAGCGTAGCTTGTCGTAAATTGTGTACAGTGTTAGGCCAGACCTATATGCCCTACATTACAAGAAAGTTTTGGTTCAAAAGATTCTCCGAAGAGAACTACGATCTCGAATGTCTGGCCTACCACGTGTTGATCTCAACGAGGATACCTCTAGAGCGCTAGAAGAAGAACCAAGAGTAACGTCACCCTAGCTTGCAGCAAGTCTCAACCATCCTCAAAGAACCATAATTGATCATCTTCATGACTGTGGAAGGTTGCCAAAGATTTTTCAATTTGCCCCTCCCCTTTTGACGGATTCACTAAAACCATTGTGTTGCGACTTGGCACATTCTTGGCTCAATAGGAAATGTAGCATCAATTGGGTTGAAAATATTATTACGGGGGACGAGTAGAAAAGGACGATGGGTCCCGGCCAAGGAAACCGCAAATACGGGCATCAAAGGAGAACTTCACGTGAAAAAGTTATATTTTCCATTTGGTTTGACAGAGAAGGCGTCATCTCCAGAAGACTTCTTCTAGGCGGCGTCATTATCCATGCGGACCTCAACAGAACTCAAATGGAAATAGCATCAAAGGCTTATCGATTAAATCGCCCGAAAAGTTCCAGCCTGTTGATGATTCATGACAACGCAAGACCACCCACTACTTTGAAGACCCGTCAGAAGCTCCAGATGCTCGGAGTCAAGATCTTCTGTCATCCACCGTATTCACTAGACCTTGCCCTAACTGAATAGCAACTATCCGTTCCTTGAAAAATCTACTTGTTAGACAAAAGTTCCATGATAGAAAGGATGTAAAAAAGTGGATGGATGACGTTTTCGCGTCCCAGTTTACCGAGTTCTACGCTAATGAAACCGCTCTACTTCCATCTCGTTGGCAAGTAGTCATGTACACTGTTGGTGAATATATCACACATTGAATCCCGTTTGCTTTGAATAAATTTTGCTCCGAAAAAAAATCAAAAAGTTACAAAAACTTTTCGCTCAACCTAATATTACTTTGAATATGAAACCGAAATTTTTGAAGCTAAAGATTCAAACTCGGATCACTGTAGATTTGATTCCGTAAGATTTCGATTGATGTTTTTTATTAAATTTTGCAACCAGAATTGTACGAATGACTTTGAAATTTTCACAAAATCATATAATGGACGTTTGGAAGCAGTAGAAAAAAAAAACAAATTTCTTTATAGAATATCTAGGATTGCTTCGTAGCAAAAATAGGAAGATGTATGAAGTTATCTGTTCAAGCGAGAGAGAAAAGGGGGAGGAAATCCCGCACACGTGTATGCCATTTCTCCTATTCTCTCTGTGGTCACCCGTGGTGTAGCGGATAACGCGAATCGCTTTTGTGCGCGCAAAGGTCCTGGGCGCGCATACGCATAATGGATGGGCGACGGAGGCCGATGAATTGGGTACAGGGAAAGGACACCGGTATGGGACATATACGGGGCATATGGGGTACACCGCCGCCGCAAAGCATCTCCTTTCCTGGGCCAGGCATTTTATTCTCATTTATGAATTCTGTACAAAAAAACTAAAAACAAGTGCCACCGGTCGAACTCGAACCCGCATAGCGCGCACAGGTCCTGGGCGATGATGCGCATAAAGGACCCGATCCATATGCGATCCTCTAGAAGTCCGTTTGACACATATCGCGAACAACTAGCTGCGATGAGTCTCATATGTGTGCGGGAGAGGCTGAATCGAGTGTTCCGAATGCGCGCGTATCCTAAATGGATTCTAGGTGGGTGGGCGATGTGTGCGAAATGGGTCTGATACGGTAGGCCGACTCAAGATACTATTTATGAAAATTCGAAACTTTAAGTTTGAAGCAAGTTATGTAATCGAATAGTTGATGACTTCTAGAAGTTACAAGCCATCAAATATGCTATTGCCTTATATTAGACACTGAATTTTGATGACTTTCTAGTTAAAAGTAATTGTTTTAAGTTTAGGTGTACGTTATATAATTTTGTGGCCGTCTAAATTTTCTACTAGATTCAATTTGTTTGAATTTCAAATATCGATTTTAAACCGAGTTATGAACATTTTCAGAGCAAATCCAACACAGAGCTCATCCGTGCTCTCGTCGTCCTCCGACTATGCGGAGTTCAAACCCTTGTCAACCAGAATCAAATGATTCTCGCCACAATGCGACGAGTCCTCGGCAAAAATTTGTTCAAGAAAACGCTCAAAAACACATTCTACGGACACTTTGTCGCCGGTGAGACCGAGGAAGAAGTTCGACCAGTGGCTGGAAAATTAAGGAAGTACGGTGTGAAATCCATTTTGGACTACTCGGTTGAGGCGGATATTTCGGGACAAGAGGCGACGGATAAGACAGTTAAAGGGACATCGCAGGCTACTGTGAAACCAGCGGTGCGTTATATTTTTATTTTCTCAATATCAGATAGATAAGGAAGTGAATTTAAAATTATCATGGATCTGATCAGTGCTACCTGAAACAGAATATACAGTGCCGGTCAATAAGATATACAAATCATTATTTTTCCGTTGATTTTCGGTCATTTGGACAATTTTCATTAATCTAGAGCAAGCCTGTCAAGTTTTCTTTTCAAAGTGATCGGACACTTGACAGATGAGCTCTAGACTGCTGGAAATGGCCGAAATGACTGAAAATCAACTACGTTTTTGTATCTGGTATTATTGTCAGAGTGAATTTTAGATTAACCCTGATCAGATATGTGTTACCTGAAGCAGAACATAATGAATTCTTAAATTTTTCCAGGCAATGACACCAGTGGTGGACGCGAAGACGCTGGAAACGACACGCGAACGCTACACGGTTCATCAAGAGTTCGGTGATCGGCGGCAGGGTGTGGCTAGTGCGAGGTTCGTGACTTGTGTATGGATTATTTAGATTTTGAGTGGATTGTGTTTTGAAAAGTTTGCAGTTTCATTTTTGGTTTTGAGTTCTTAGGAAGAGAAAACTTCTTCAATTGCAATGCTGAATACATGAGAGTTGAACTTGTGTGAGCCACTAGCTTGGGAACTAATTCTCGAGGGGGATAATTGAACGCTCAAAGCAACCATGAGTCGGTTTTCGACGTATTTAACGGGTTAAAAAACTACAGAACTTTTGTCTAGTGAAATAATGCATCATATGGTCTCGATTAATGCAAGTTAGGCGTCGTAAAGTAATTAGTTAAAGGTTGTCGAGCTTAAAGGCGCATATCTCGGTTCAAACTTGGAACTTCAACGTTTAAAAAATTGCATCTCGTAGGAAATTTAAAGAGCTACACAACAATATAAAATACAGACATTAAAACATTTTTTGCCTTCAATTAGGGAGTTACAAACTTTCGTGGCTAGTATAATTGCGCCTTCTAGTGGTCGACAGCTATCAATGCATATAACTTGCTTTTATCTCATAATTGTGAATTTTCATTTATTGAATCTTGTAGAAAATGAAAAGGCTACAAATTGATATACAGAATGACTAGATTAGTTCACAGGAACACCATCGATGCTAGATTACAATTAGTTCACAGGAACACCATCGATGCTAGATTACAATTAGTTCACAGGAACACCATCGATGCTAGATTACAATTTGAGCTCAATTATCTCTGCTCCTATAAGAGATATAAAAATTTTTGAACTGAAAAAAAAAACATTAGCAATAGTATGATAATCAATTTATTAGTTGACAGGTTTTTGATGTCTTTTATAGGAACCGAGATAGTTGCGCTCAAAGCTAGACAACCTACACAGGGCGGGGGGTGAGGCCGACCGCGGCTCTGCTTGGCTTAAAATGCTAGACGTCGAAAAAATGCATGCTTTTCAAAACTAAACTAACTTCATATCGACTACGGTTTCATTTTTCAATCCATACAAGTCACACATTTTAAACAGTAATCAATTCAAATTTGGTTCAACCTTGTTCCATCCCTTACCGGTCCCATTAGACTAAGGCCTCCATTCGGTCGGCGATGGCTGATTTTCAACCGACCGAAATAGAAGCTTTACGTTAGACCCATCCAATCTTTCCCCCAATTCTCCATATTTCTTCCAGAACCTATTTCTACGAAGGCGAGGAGCAGTGTGACAAGAATCGTGACATCTTTAAGCAATCCATCGACGCCGTGGCGTCAGCCACAGGAAACGAGGGATTCGTGGCAGTGAAGGTGACGGCGTTGGGACGTCCTCAACTGCTTCTGAAGCTTTCGGAAGCCATTGTTCAGACTCAAAACTTTTTCCAAGCATTGACAGGAGGAATGACACTTCAGGAGGGTAGATTGTCGGTGAAGGATTTGACTAAGAGATTGCATGTGGGTTAATAGAAACAGAGGGCTAAAAATCACCAAGTTTTTCAGGACCTCGGTGTGAAAACAGACACAGAGAGTGTCAAGAAATTCTTCCACGACGTTGACTTTGATTCGGATGGTGTTGTCGATCTCCATGGATGGAATCAGCTTCTCGAGGATCATGTGAAACTTGGACAACTGTTTCAAGTGTTGAATATCAAGACCGGAGCCCTGGAGCCTTTGATCCAGAACTTGTCGGAGGCGGAGGAGCAGGAATTCCGAAACATGGTTCGACGAACTTTGGATGTTGCCGAGTATGCCATTTCCAAGGGTGTCAGGATTATGGTGGACGCTGAGCAGACGTATTTGCAACCGGCAATTTCGAAGATTACTATTGAAATGATGAAGAAGTACAACAAGGATCGTGGAAACGTGTTCAACACCTATCAAGCCTATCTCAGGTGTACCCTTCAATGCATGGAGGCTGATATGCAAGTTGCCAGACGAGAGGGATGGCACTTTGGCGCCAAACTTGTCCGTGGAGCGTATATGGAACAGGAGAGGTCTAGAGCTAAAGCAATTGGATATGAGGATCCGGTTAATGTTGATTTCCAGGTTGGTGAGGCTTATGGAAGAGATTACGGTGTAGAGCAGGCTCACTGTAGGCCTACTTTAAGAATACTGTCTGGTTAATGTAAGCTAACTGTAGAAAAGACCTATTGTAAGCTAACTGTAAGGAAGGCTTACTGAAAGCTTACTAAAAGCTCACTGTAAGCTTACTGTAGGCATACTGTAGGTTTAATAAAAGCCTAAAACCTAAAACCAGAACCTTGACCCATTTTATCTCAATTCCTGTAAAAGATATCAAAAGCGGTAAACTGATAAAATGTTTATAATAATATCAATAACATTTAGTAAGTTGATCGCTTTTTGACATCTTTGATAGGCACACAGATACCGTAAACACTCTAATAGAACGCCACCTGAATTGTCAAGTTTGAGCTTATGTATCTCATTTTCTGGGAGAGATATCAAAAAGTGGTTAACTAATAAAATTTTGCTGATATCATGATAAACATTTTATTAGTTGGCAACTTTTCGATATCTTTCAAAAAAGTGAGATAAATAGGCTCAAAGTGGACGGACCGGGTGGCGTTCAATTAGAGTGTTTACGGTAAGCCGGGCCTAGCTGAGCTGCGCGGTTGTCAGTGCTAACCTAGAAGTAATTAAAAATTTCTATTCCAGTTTCATCTTATATTTTTCAAGTATTCACACGTTTTTTATTCCTCCCAAAATATAAGAAAATATCAGAATGGACAAATTTCAGGCCACCACAAAAATGTACGAATCATGCCTAACCCGAATCGCCGATGAGGTTGATCGACGTGGCCGAACGAATGTGTCGGTGATGGTTGCCAGCCACAACGAGGATACGGTACGATTCGCGGTCAATTTGATGAAGGAACGATGCATCGCACCGTCGGAACGGGTCATGTGCATGGCACAGTTGTATGGAATGTGTGATCAGGTAAGGTTGTTTTGAAGCTGATTATTTGGGTTACTGTAAGAGATAGCGGAAAGTGATAAACTGATAAAATGTTGGTCATAATATTACCAAAATTTTGTTAGTTAACATATTCTTAATATGTTCTGTAGGAACGGAGATAATTAATTAAGCTTAAAGTGCATTTGTGTTAAGACATATCCGGCACACCTGATTTATGAGCTTGGATCTTGATTATCTTGGTTACTGTAAAAGGTATCAAAAAACAGTCAACTAGCATCATGTGTAAAATAATAAGGCAAACATTTTATCAGTTGACCAATTTTTGATATCTCTCACGGGAACTGAGATAATTGAGGTTGAAGAAACCAAGTTAGGTTGCCTCGACTACTGTAGCTTCTTTCACTGTTCCATGACGTTAAGAAAACATATGTTTACTATTTTACTCACTACCAATCAAGTTTCATTCACAAAATATTCCAGGTATCATTCTCATTGGGTCAAGCCGGTTTCTCAGTCTACAAATATCTACCATATGGACCAGTGGAAGAAGTGTTACCGTACCTGAGCAGACGTGCGCTGGAGAATGGAAGTGTGCTGAAAAAGGCGAATAAGGAGCGTGATCTCTTGTGGAAGGAGCTTAAACGACGAATCTCATCTGGCGAATTCAAAGTTCGCACTTAAACAATGTCTTTAACTTTTTTTGACCTACAATGAAGCTAGATTTTTTGCCTCCTCATAGTTTGAGCTTGCTTTTTTGTTTCTGAAAATTTCTTTTCATATCACTTTTGCTATTTTTTCTCTGCCAACCCCCCATCTTCTGATCACAATAAAATATTTTTTCTCGAGTTCTTGAAGAATTAAAAAATTTCAATACATTCAAAAAAATAAATTATCATCACAATGGATTTCTTTGTGAATGTTTATCCTATAAAACCTCTTGAAACTGGAAAATATGAAAAATATTCCAAAATGCTGAAACTGATCTTTTTAGTTTCCTTTATCTGTCTTTTTGCCGGATTTCAAGCTGAGGGAGTTACTGGGGTAAGTTTAGGGTTTCAATGTCATAAAAAGAGAATAAAATTGGTTAATCATTCTAAAACTTTACAAGTATCTGAGATCCCATTCAAGCTTAATGATTCCAGAATTTTCAGACCCCACCTCCTTCAAACCAGCCCCCAGTGACCCAACCAGCCACTGATGTCCCAATTGAATCATGCTCCACACCTGTGTGCATTCTTCAACAGTTTGCCGAGCAATTCATGGAAATCATCCAACAAATTTATAATTCATTGGGGTACCCTGGTATCGAAGAGAAGGAGAAAGTTCAATGATATTTATTACTGTTTTGATTAAGAAGTTTGATAAATTCGTTTGGGCATTTGTCATTAGAAGCTTTATCATCTTATTTTAGTAGTTGAGATTCTGAAATCGAGTGATTATATAATTGGTGCTAATTTTTCAAATTTGAATATACTTCCAAAGTTTTTGAGAAAGCATTCTTGAAGTTTAGTAATAAGATTCATGTTTCATGTTTACTTCAATCTGAAACCAATAAAGGATGATTTTTGATGCTTCTGTGTAACAATGAGGTTTAAAAGAAAGTCAAACAGTAATCATTTTTAAAACTTTTTGTAATGACCTCTGACATGCATTGTTTGTAGGTTTTGATAAAATGGCCTTGAAACTGAATAATTTTTTGAAGAAATTCGAATGTTGGCATTTCCTTAAAAAACGTCGAACTTTTTTGTTTTTTGAAATTTAATTGAAATTTAACCAGCCGATTTCCGCCGCCTGTCGGCGGCTACAATCTCCTGGCTTCACTAAAAACGTTTGAGTCTCCAAATCTGAGAGAATCAGAGGACGAAGTTTTAGTTGATTGTGTTGTCAACTTTCATAAACTGGAGTGACAATCTGCTTGTGCGCCTTCGGGGTTAAACCTTCTGTCTCCCGCTTACAACACCCTTAACCGATTGTGTTTGGGCTTGGACAGATAAATCAGAAATGTGTCTTAGTTGATACACGAACTGTTCAAAATTTCCAAATTTTTAGAACTAATAATTTTTCTGAATTCCCGAATATCTTGAAATTTGACAACTTATAATTTTTTCAGAAGTTTCGAAATTCAGGAGTCCTTTCGGAACTGCGATTCTAGAACTCAAAGATTTTTCTATTAAAATACTTCATTTCAGAACTCATAATTTTTGAAATTTTGTATTTTCGAGTTTCCGTATTTCCGACTTTCCGAGATTCTACTTCACAAATTCCCAAAATTTTAACACGAATCAGATTTTCAGAATTTTCTCTACAACACATTCCTGAGTTTTTGATTCACAAAGTTTATGAATTTCCGAATTTTCTAAATTCCGAGCTTGGGCTTTCTGATATGGTTTTTCTGGTTTTTTGCTTTCGAGATTTTGGATTTTCAAAATTTCGAGTGTTCTAACTTTCAATTTTTTTTTAAATTTCGTAATATTCCGAATATCTGAATTTTTATACTTCTGAATTTCCGAAACATTGGACATTTGAATTCTCTGATTTTCAAACTTCAAAATTTCCGAAGTTTCAAATCTCGGTATTTTCGAGTTCCCGTTTTTCCAATTTTCCTAATTTCTGAATTAGAATTTTAGAATTTCAGAGTGAAACCAAAATGTGTGTGTGTGTTTGAAGCATAGGAAAGGTTAGAAATTTCGCGTTTTCGAAAAAATAATCAAATTTCTTGAATCAGAATCTCCGAAATTCAGTTTTTTAGAAGTAAGAGGTTCAGAAAGTCAGAATTTCAAATTTTACTGAACTTTTTCTTTCTCTCTTTTTTTCAAAACTAAGACTAAATAATTATTTCCACAAAATCCCCTTTTTGTCAGATATAACGTGGATAACAAAAAAAAGGGGGTTGGGCGGGAATAACGTAAATATTATTTTTTGAAAGATTTGCACTGTAGAAATAGAAGAACGTCTCCAGAAGGCGTCAAACTCAAAATTTTGAAACATAAAATAAACGGGCATCATCTCGCTGCTATTTCGGATCATCTGTGAAAATTTGAAAATTTCCGGTCCACTCGCGACTTTGCTAGGGTCGTGGAACCGGGAACAAACGGACACACAAACAGAATTTGGTGATTGTTAATAGTAAAGATGACAGAAATTTTAAAATTGTTCCAAAATTATCTTTGATCTCAATGATCTCCATTTCCATGAGAGATATCAAAGTTTGAATTTCTGAATAAATCTGAACTTGAAGTTAATGACGACTCTCTATTAGACTCTAATCTCTAATCTGCTTAATTGAAAGTATGGTTTGTAGCTTTGATATCTGTAGATCTTGAAACTGCATATTTTTGGAGGGATTCCCTTGAAGAAACGAATTCCCTTGAAGATTTTTCGAAGAATATTATGGATTTTTTGGAAGTTTCACTTTTCACAAAATTTGAGATGCTAGATATTTGAAGTTTAGACTGAAAGTGGAAAGTGTAAGATGAACACAAATCGGAAATTCCACTGAATAAAAATAATAGAATTTTTTTCGGTTTCACTAACTTCATAACCCAACCATACTTTATTAGGTCACATACTTCTCTAATAGAACGTCACCCTGTATTTGGAATTTCAGCTTAATTATCTCAATTTTGTGAGAGATATTAAAAACTTGCCAACTGATAAATTGTTCGTTATATTATCAACAACATTTCATTAGTTTGCTGATTTCAGGTATCTAAAATGTTGCTCAAGAGAAAGAGAAAGTTAAATGATTTTTACTGTTTCAATGAGGAAGTTTAAAGGGGGAATCCGACCAAAATTTTTTTTTGTATTAAAATGTTTCAAAAGTTATCTATTTTTCGAATATTATTGCGAAAAAATTTGAAAGAAATCCGAAATCCCCGAAAAACGCCGTTGAAAATGAAAAAAATTCAAAAAAGGTGCCGCCAAGGGACGAGGATTTGAATTCCCACGCATTGAGAAACCTAGGCCACGGCACCTGATAGCATTATTTTCAAGTGGCCGACAGTGTTTTTTAACGTTTTTTACCTGTCGGAGATAAAAGCGAAAAAAATCCGGAAAAATTGTCCGGTAAGAAAGTCGCGCCGCACGCGTGGCCTAGGTTTCTCACTGAAAATCCTCGTCCCTCGGCGGCACCTTTTTTTGAATTTTTTTCATTTTCAACGGCGTTTTTCGGGGATTTCGGAGTTCTTTTGAATTTTTTCGCAATAATATTCGAAAAATAGATAACTTTTGAAACATTTTAATACAAAAAAAAATTTTGGTCGGAGTCCCCCTTTAAAGAAGACGCATTTTTCGGGTGTAATATTTTTTGGAGAAATTCGAATTTTCTTGAAGGTTTTTTTTGACGATCGAACTTTTTGAAACTAACAACAAAACTGGAAATCCTGTTTTTTCCCCAAAAAATTTTAGATGCCATAAACTTCAAGTTTAAACTGAAAGTGACTCAAAACTCGTGAAAATCAAAAAACCTACTAAATCAAGATTCCCGATTTTTTTTCTGTTTCACTAACTTCATAACATAAATAAATTTAAACGGTGTTTTTGCTCCATAACTTTCTTTCATTACATGCTCTAATAAATTTTAAAACTAATAAATTTACTCTAATAGAACGCTACTTTTACTTGCACTTTGAGCTCAATTATCTCGGTTCCTATGAGAGATATAAAAAATATGTTAACTGATAAAATGTTTGCCATAATATTACAACCATTTCATTAGATGATAAATTTTTTTTCTCCCATAAAACTGGAGATAATTGAGTTCAAAACCAAACCATTAGCGCAACATCTCTTTATAGCTGTTTTTGTTCTGAAATCGTGAAAAAACAGGCGTGCTTCAGATAGCGCTAAAATCTCAAAAACACAAATCCAGAACTTTTATCTTAATCGTAACTTTTATCTTTTCTGTGTTCCTCAATTTCTAATTTTGTAGTCTTTCAAAGTCAACACGACCCCATCTGTTACCTACCTTAAACCTGCCGTTGGCAGTTTTCTCTCTCTTTTTCCCCATGTTTACTTTGTGAAAAATTCCAAAGTCAACAAAAGAACCAAAGTGATTCGGTTTCTCTGGTTAAAGTCACATTCTTTCCTATAGAGTCCCCTGGTTCTTTTTTGTCGAAAAAATGATGGTATGTTTTTTCATAGCGAGACTGAAAAAACTGAAATTCTCAGAAATTTGAAATCTACTTGAAACAAGAAACTTTTTTTTTGAAAAAAGCTTTTAACTAAAAAACGCGTTTATCCTATTCAAATTACTCAAGAACTATCGAAAGTTCTTAAATCAATAATGTGAAACTTTGAAAAAATTAAAAACATTCCTGTCGTGACCGGGTAGTGTGTTGGTTAGCGCACTCCGCTTTTGCCCGCGCAATGCGGGTTCGAGTCCGATAGGTGGGAACTTTTATTTGGTTTTTTGTAGAGAGTTCCGAAACGAATATGAAAATGTCTTACTGCTTTTTAATAGGTTTGAATGAAAATCTAGCAAAGAGAATCCCAGTTCCAGTAGGAAAATTTTGTTGAACTTGAGCTTCTGAGTTGTTTACTTTTGGAGAAAAACGGTAGGTAAGTCAGAAATTCTCATAGGACTGGGCCTGAAACTCGAGATAAATGCCCCTTACCCGGAAAGTTTTTGGGGGAAAAGACGAATCTTTAAATTTGTGAGTTTTGGATTTCAGGATGCCCGAATTTCCTAATTTCATGAATTCTGGAGTTTTGGGGTTTCAAAACGGTGTTTCGGTTTGGAACTTTCATAATTTTCAAATTTTCGAATTTCCGTATAACTGAACTTATCGACTTTCCTACTTTCTGAATTTCTGTAAGCCTGAATTTCTTCGAGTCGAAAATCAAAATATACTTTTGAGCTGAAATTCCGGAAACTTTGAGTAAAGAGCCAGTGGTTCTCAAATTTCTGATAAATGAATCAAAATTTGATGAAGGACTACAGATCCGGAAACTCCGACAAAAGGTCCAGAAGCCCAGTCACATTGGATAAAAGCCAAAAGCATTCGGTCTTTCAACCTGAGTTTTGAGACACATGTTACTTTTGGAGAAACCACCTATCTAGAGTATCATGTCTTTTGTTTCTAGTAAGATTTAGGATGTCCAGCTCCAAAGGGGTGCAAACCAAATTCGAAAAGTTTGAAATCCAAAAATCAATGGTTCAGAAATTTGAAATTCAGAAAATAAGAAATTTGAAAGTTCAGAAGCAAACTCTACACTTCAGAGTTTTGAAATAGCGGAAACTCGGGAAACCTAGATTCTGAGATTAAGAAACTCATTAACTTGGGAATTTAACAATTCCAAAACTTTAAAATACAGATATTGACTTATGTTA